CTAATGTTGTGGAAACAAAAGCGAAAGCACTGTAAGATAAACTAAGACAAAGGTTTTTTTAATCCTCTTAGTTTCGTTGTTCTTCCTGGGGTTTATAGTTCCATGCATAAAACCAAGAGAGAATATGTTTTGAGTGACATTCACAACTGCAGGGCTTTTAATTTAACAATTTGTACTAGGGTTTTTATCTAATTTTCTCACTGTTAATTGTTCTCAAGTTTCATCTCAGACTTACTGGGTAATTTACTTTCACTGAATCCTGTGAATATATTTGTCTACAATGGTTATATAAGTTATGAAAGTCAGTGAGGAAAATTATTTACCGGGTATACTTGTCAATCCAAGTTTTAGTTTTCAGTAGAAATAATTGAGTTGTGATCAACCATAAATACAGTATTCAGTTGCCATAGTAATTTTTAAACTATTAAGAACATGACTATCTTAAATACTAAAACTATGAACAGTTATTAATTAATATTTTAAATAATAATGATGATAACATTAAAAATGATGTGGCGAAACATATCTATAACTGTTTTAATATACGAGAAAATTCAATTAAAAGTGAAATGCTTAAATCAGCTGCTTCAGAAAATACAAATTAACAATTTTTTTTTGTTTAGAAATTTGGGCATCTTGTTTGATTTTCGTTCCCTGTTTTTTTTAGTGTTTTTCATAAGTTTTCAGAATGTATTACTTATTGTACTTTTCATCAAAATCTCAAATACAGGGACGATAGCAATAAAGATTCTATTCTATTCAATTGATATCCTTCAACTAGTGCTTCAACTAAGAAAATATCAAACAGTTAACACTGATTCATTAATGCACAAGACTATGATTAATGGGATACCTATTGTCTTTAGGTATGTAATTATTGTCATTAAAACAATGGTCACATTTACACCAATTGTTATCCTGATAAACAAGAGACAGGATATCTCACAGGTCATGTCCCAGCAAGGCATTGTATTGTTAATCAATGAGAAGTGTAAACAATAGTGAAAGCAGCAGAGCAGCTGGAGTCGAGTGAAACTGGGCTAGCAAGCATATGTCATGTCAATTAATGTACATCCATGTTTGGACACACCCAATATGAATGATTCACCTTGTAATAAAAATATTGTGACCTCCATGGTCATATCATGAAACATGGAACTGAGAACGACTCAGCAGAGACACTGCTTGTGTTACTGCTCACTCTGACCACTAAGTTACAATTGAATACAATCATACATCCGTGACCCTAATACAGCCACTGTAACACTAACCCACCAAATTAACTTTCAGGATAAATTGTTATAAATGAGAAAAACATTAATTTATGTTTCCCAAGTTCTATATAGGCTTAATTAACTGTGTTTTAAGTTGAATTATTTTGGATTAAATTAAAACCCAGAGAATAAAAATAGAACATACAGTTTTCTTCACAAATGAACACCTCTGAAACATCCACTAAAAGTCTATTAAAATTAAACTCAATGAGTAGTTACCTTTTTACATATGACACAATCACTTATGTGGGGACTGTGATTATGATAGTTTGATACATTTTTTGATCAGTGAAGCCTAAAGCTGCAAAGTTACAGCATAGCATGACTTCTTACCTGTAAATAAACCTGGTGGACAATAACACTCATATCCGTTGACATGGTCCACACACGTAGCTCCATTCCTGCATGGATTTGATGTGCATTCTAAGATATTTTCACTACAGTTCCGACCCTGAAATCCTTGTGTACATAGGCATGTATAGTCATTATCCAAATCCACACATGTAGCACCAAATTGACAAGGATCAGGTTCACAATCATCAATGTTGATTTCACACAGTTCACCAGTAAATCCAGGTGGGCACTGACATCTACAATGAACACATAGATATATCAGTATTAATATCCTTAAGTATGTACACATATAATTAGCCATAATTCACAAACTGCTACATTGTTGGTGGTACACAACAGTGAGTGACTGTTAGAGAATTATGTTTGGAGCCCCCTAGCACAGTGGGGTAACTATTCTTTAGAATCCTAGGTGGTCATTCTTTTTATAGCAACCATAGAGGGCAGCATGTAGGGTAAAATACTACTGGTAGTACTGTAAAACATAGACCCCTTTCATTTTAGCAAATTTGACCCAACACATGAATTACCATAATTTTAATTTTGCTTATTTTAATTTATTTTAAATCTTGAATTAACAAAATAAGATGTCAACTAAAAAGACAAGTTTTACAGTACTTTATCATAGTTGTTCAGACATGATAGAATAGATCAATTTACTCGGACACTGTGCATTTTCAAACATTTGTTCTAAATATATCTTTTGAAAATAAGTTGGGCTGAAAAACAAAGGTTTTGCTTCATGTCCCAGGAAAATGATGTAATACTACAACAACAAGATACATGTTAAATGCTTTACATTTATGCTTTTAGATACATGTACATGCATTTAGAAATGTTTGGCGCCCTCCACCAGCATGTGAAAAAAATGTGAGGCACAATGATGGGCACAATGACAAGAAGCAAATCTTACTATAAAAAAAAACATTCCTGCTTATATGTAATTGGGAGTGAATAACTCACAAATGGTAAGTACCAACACATCAGATTTTTCAATGCAATCTAGCTTGCAGTTTTCAAAAAAAATATTATTTATCAGTACTACCCGGTACTAACAATGTTAAATATTCACTCAAAATTTGCCACATTATCTAGCCAGTGAAAAGTTTACGTATTTTTGTTAAACCATATGTCAGGACAAAGAATTTAGTAACCGAGCGTTCACATATTATGGTCCAAAATAATTGAATGTTTTCATCATACATTAAAAACACAAAGCTATTCTTACCGGTACTACTCAAACATTCACTAAAGGCATACTTTTTAAACATTTATATTAAAGTGAGTTTTATTTAATAATGCAGTTTTTGACTATTAATCCAATTGTTGGATGTGGTTATTATTTTCATGCTTTATCCGATGTAGATATTTACTCTTGTTACATTGTCACCTAGAGCCGAATTTAAAAATAATTAATTCTAAAATGAATAAATCTGATAGAAGGCCTCTAAAGCTATAACAATTATAAAAACAATCAGATTTTCAAATTGACAAAAATATGCCTTTGCAAGAATATTTTATGGCAGATTATGAAACATCATTTCAACAAAATAATCTCCATCAAATTTACTAGGTGCTGTAGAATACATTTAGGTATAAGTTATGAATATTAAACAATTGATACTTACAAAAACTCTAAATTGTTTGAAGAACAAGTTGCTCCATTTTGACACGGTTGATCATCACATGGATCAATCATAGTGGAACAAAGATAGTCTGTAAATCCAGCCGTGCATATGCAAGTAAATCCATTAATATCACCTACACAAGTGCCGTTATTCTGACAAGGGTTACTGTCGCACTCTTCAATCTCTAAAGAGCAGTTACGACCAAAATACCCGGGCTGACAGAAACAAATGTAATCTGTCAAGTCACTGGTGCAGACGCCGTTGTTTTCACATGGTTGATTGGCACAGTGGTTTACAGCAGCACTACATTTATCATCAGTATAGCCAGGTGCACAGACACATGTGTATGCATTAACACCATCAATACATGTACCACCATTCAGGCATGGAGAACTCGCGCAATCATCAATATTAGTACCACAGGTAACTCCGGTGAAACCTTCGGCACATACGCAGATGTACTCGTTGATGTCATCCAAACAAGTTGCAGCATTTAAACAAGGATTACTGAGACACTCATTAATATTCGTACTGCAAACAACATCTGTGAAACCAGGTGCACAAACGCACATGAAGGAGTCCAATTGGTCAATACAAGTTGCACCGTTTAAACATGGTAAGCTTTCACATTCATTGATTTCAGTCTCACAGTTTAGGTCCGTGTATCCAGGTGCACATACACATCTGTACTCATTAGCATAATCTTGACAGGTGGCTGCATTTTGACAAGGATTACTGGCGCACTCATTAACGTCAACATCACAGTTCTCACCAGCAAATCCAACAATGCATTCACATACGTATCCACCTTCTATGTTTCGACATGTACCATTATTATAACATGGCTGCAAGTAAAAATAAAATAAAATTCTATTTTGCCCTGTCCTATGAAGATCATTCTGCCACATTGAAAGTTATATTTTCATTTTTTTTGGTTTCTGCGTGGGAAGAATGATTAAATTCTATCTAACTGACATAATATACGAGAAATTTGAAAAATTGTAGCATAATTCTATGAGTTCCCATCACAGTTATCTAACAGCATCTATATCGCCCTCTAGTGGCAATGGATACAAATATTTAATGTGAAAACAAGTGGGATTGTTTTGTGAAATGTTTGAGAATACAAATATTGGTGAGAAAGTGAAGAAGATAGCTTTGAATAGAATTAAACTTTTATACCTGTGACATACCGTATATTTTACCCATATTCTGCATGTGTGTTGGTTAATTGTGAAATTATATTGTCTTAATTATCTGTCTTATATACACAATATGAGAAAAGCTCTTCATCTAACAAGATTAAAAGACAATTTGTCACATTTCAGGTGAGTGCAAGTCACATGTCTGCTGTGTGCAAGTCACATGTCTGGTTGATGCAAGTCACATGCCCAGTCAGAACAAATCACATGTCTGCTGTGTGCAAGTCACATGTCTGCTGTGAGCAAGTCACATGCCCAGTCAGTACAAATCACATGTCTGATGTTTGCAAGTCACATGCCCAGTCAGTACAAATCACATGTCTGCTGTGTGCAAGTCACATGCCCAGTCAGTACAAATCACATGTCTGCTGTGTGCAAGTCACATGCCCAGTCAGTACAAATCACATGTCTGCTGTGTGCAAGTCACATGTCAATGCAACAACGTTTAACAGAGCTAAGATAATCACTGTGAAAGCATTACTTTCTTTTGATATTTTGAACATATTCCCCGAGTTTTAAATTCATGGATTGTCCAGTGAAACAATGAGTTTCAATGTAAATTTGACATGATCATGTGAACTTAATTTAGCGAATTTTAAATTGTGAAAAACTTTCATATTGCATTCATATTAGAAAATACAAATGAATTAAAATAGGTGACAAATGTTAATTGTTAGGACCTGGTCATGACATTGACAACCAATGTCAACAACATTGATTCAAGCACGAGTACAGCAAGGATATCATACCTGTGGTTGGCAATTATCTATTCCTATTTCACAATTAACACCTTGAAATCCAGGCACACATAGACATTCATAGTAACCAACATTATCAACACATGTAGCATCATGCTCACATGGATCAGAAATGCACTCATCTACCTCCAGACTGCAGTCTGAGCCTGTAATAAATTAGTACACAATATAATTTATCAAGAGTCAGTTAGAAAAATCTGTTAATATCTGTAATCAAAATGCATAGGATTTATCCCACTTAGTGGCCAATAGACCTGACACCTGTCACTTAATGCCCATTGGGCTTGCAATATCTGTCATCTAGTAACCAATATGCATAAGATCTATCCCATTCAGTGGCAAATAGGCCTGAGACCTGTCACTTGATGCCCATTGGGATGCAATATCTGTCATTTACTAACCAATATGAATAGAATCTATCCCATCTAGTGGCCAATAGGTCTGTGATCTGTTACTTAATGCCCACTGGGCATGCAATATCTGTCATTTACTAACCAATATGAATAGGATCTATCCCATCTAGTGACCAATAGGTCTGTGATCTGTTACTTAATGCCCACTGGGCATGAAATATCTGTCATTTACTAACCAATATGAATAGGATCTATCCCATTTAGTGGCCAATAGGTCTGTGACCTGTCACTTAATGCCTATTGGGCTTCCAATATCTGTCATTTAGTAACCAATATGAATAGGATCTATTCCATTTAGTAAGCAACATAACAGAGACCTGTCACTTAATGCCCACTGGGCATGCAATATCTGTCATTTAATAACCAATTTGCATAGGATCTATCCCATTTAGTGGCCAATAGGCCTGAGACCTGTCACTTAATGCCCATTGGGCCTGTAATACAGTATCTGTCATTTAGTAACCAATATGCATATGATCTGTCTCATTTAGTGGCCAATAGGTCTGTGACCTGTCACTTAATACCCTCTGGGCTTGCAATATCTGTCATCTAGTAACCAATATGCATAAGATCTATCCCATTCAGTGGCAAATAGGCCTGAGACCTGTCACTTGATGCCCATTGGACTGAGTAACCATGGGTTTATGACTTGTCAATTTGTGGATACTGTTATATGTCCATGTCAAACATGGCTGTTATCTGTCTTGTGATGTCTATCAGGTCTATGACAAGTGATCGCTCAATGATCAATGTAACTTTCTTACATGCTACAGTACCTAATATGACTTTCCCAAGCTAATTAATATGATATCTCACCTATAAATCCAGGAGCACATAGACACGTGTATTGCAGTTCAGTATCACCATCAACACATGCAGCTCCATTGTAACATAATACTTGGCCTTCGCATACATCAATGTTCACTTCACAATTATCACCAAGGTAACCTGTGAAAGGAAAGTGATACAATTTAGCAATATGTCATTTGTGGTTCTGATAATCAAAAGAACCAACCATTCTGATGTTTATTTTGAATCTAGATAGCAACACAGATTACACGACAGGGCTGTGAGGCCATCTCTCCATATAACGGCAGTTCAATGCACGATCCTGGTGTCAACCAGGCCCAGACGAACACAAGTATTCATTAGTCGTATTCGTTAGTGAATGAATCTCGGCCAGTGGAATTGGCCTTCCTGGTGAGTATGTGGTATACCCAGGGTAGAGATGTTCAGCCGAAGGTAGGATTTGAACTTGAGTCTACTGATCACGAGTCTAATACGACAACCAATAGGCTGCCAGTGTCCTACTGTACGTCCTAGACACTGATGTAACTGAATTATTGGATTTCCAGACATTTTTTTTAGCTTCGACATGTTACTTTTTGTTTTGCTTGTCTGGTTATGTTTTGTGCATTGTATCCATTATCATCCATTCCAATGGAAGTTCAGTTACTAAATAAATACAAGCTGTGAGAAACTTACTAATTCACAAGGTTTGAGGGGTCTCAGTTATGTTGGCGTCAATGCGAATTACAAACTAAGGAGAAATATACAATAGTTTGAGATACAAACCTAATGGACAAGTACAATTGTAATAAGTCTGGTGATTGCTGCATATACCACTGTGTTGGCATGGATTAGGATCGCATAAATCAACCGGAAAGTTACAGTGAAAACCTAAAGAAGAAAAAGATATGACAAATTGGGTACATTGTCTGCTGAAATCCACCATACGCATATCAAAACTCAATAGGAGAAAAGCAAAACATTGTACTAAATCACTGTAATTAAGAACCAACACTAATATAAGTGGAAATCCTGACATGTGACATGCATGCCTGCTAATGTACAGTTTGTGCTGTGACCTGGTGATGGTCTGGACCTTGTTGCCATGCTTACCAATAAATCCTGGTGTACATGTACAGTTATATCCCGGTACATCAAGGAATTCACCAAAGTTATTACAGGTAGCCCCATTCTCACACTGCTGGTAGGTACAGTAGTCAACAATGCTGTTACATCTTGCACCTATAAATACAAATATTAGTTATTTTAATACATTGGGATTGTGAACTTTGACCTACATATCAACAATAGTTATCATGTCATGTCATGTCATACGAAACATGTATATACCGGTATAAGCAATAATATGATGTTATTATGAGGATACCTCAAAGTATGCACAAAGACAGTACAGATGGGAGTATCGACCGACACTCAGCAAAGGTCGAAGCGACATGTACTGTCTGAGTGCATACTTTATTATTATACATCTTTTCCTTCCAAGGATACATCATAGGAATGCAGAATTCCAAAAAGTTTAAAACAGAATCTGCGAACTTCTTTGTCTGGAGTCCGGTCAAACCCTGGTGGCAGCCTTGTTTGTTTTTATTATTAGAGGACGCTTACGTGCATAATCATACCATATTTGGAATTCGCATTTCCTAATATGGTAGAAAGAAAATACCCTGTAAAATACCGCAAAATTATGGCACGCTGTAACTTATGGCATTACGGTGACAGATGTATAATAATATTTTTTATTTACTCATAGAAAACAATATGGTTTATGTACAATGTAAAACATATCCTTTCAAACTGGATAAAAAAGCAATAGTAGTTTATAAATAAATAAACACTGCTCGGACTG